TTGAAATTAAAGACTAGTATTTAATTTAAATTAGGAATACAGTTATACTTTTGCCAAATGCAGTTTTTCGTAACAGTTCACTTTTACCCATATTCTCCAGCCAGCCATCATCAGCCTGTTTGTTAATTGCCTTATATCATTTAAAAATAGGTGTTCCCTACATGCTTCCTTTTTTTTACATAAGATTTCCATAAAGATTTATTTTTTAAATTTACAATATTTACTATTTCAGTGATGAAACATCACAGCCTTGTAACAAACTTGTTTCAATCACATCCTAACAATTATGCAAAACACATGGTAATTTCTGGGTTAGCAGAATGATGCTTAAATTCTGTTAATAATAAAATTCAAAAACTCCCAATTTGCTGTTACAAAAGTAAGATAAGAAATATTTAATTACATTCATTAATTGCATTCATTCATTGAAAAGTACTTTTTGAGTCTCTAATGTTTATGGCAATCGAATGAGTGTTTTCTTTTTTAAAGAATGAGATGGTGAAAATCTTTTTCAGTTCTAGGCCCCTAACAAAGAAGTAAAGGCAGCCCAGATATAGAGGCCCCTGATCCTTGGAATAGTCTATCTTTTGAATAGTCACACCCAACAGAGACTATATATAGAAAAGCTGCTGTTTTACATAACCACACAATGTTCTCAAATAATTTGCAATTCACTGTAACCTCAAAACACTTCCTGTCCAATGGTACCAAATTAAATCTGCATGCACTCTTACTCCATTTACCAAATTGAACATTTTTAGATTTGACCTATTAACTGAGATTAATTCAGGGCTGCCTGACAGCATCAATATTGTAGCATCTGGACCATTAAAATGGCTTGAGTGGAATCTGTTGGACTCCTTCTTCTTTGGAGAATGGGTTGAACTTCCTATGCCCCTTTGAACAAGTGTCCACATAATGACAAGTATAAAACCAAAATCTTCAGAGGCTAATCTTCCTACTGCTACTAAGCTTGGCCAATAATATCCAAATACTCATTTCAATTTATTCTTAACTGATTTTCACTTATATAAAGCTTTAGCATCTGGATTAAAAAAGATTCTGGAACAAAGGATATCAGATACTAAATACACACTGAAAAACAAACCTAGGGCTGTTGGGGGCTGGAGCTGGAGAGAAAAGCAACAATGTAGTGTTTGTACTGATTAGGTTTTTCTCTGCATGCCTCAATTCTATCAAGGAAAAAGCTAAAGATCATGTTGGTCAGCACAGAAATTCTGTTTTGCCTTGTTGTACATACACTATAGTCATAAAATGCATGGACCTAGCAGGAAGATGGTTTAACAAGTAGAAACCACCATGTTGATTCAAGTAGAAAATAAGATTTCTGAGAAAAGACCAGACCCACAGGATCCTGCATGCACAATGTTCAAGGTCAACTCACCAGGAACACAGTCTTAACCCTGGGAGAACTCCAGATCTTTTTCCCCAGTTTAGGTAGGGATAAAGCACATCACCAAAGAAGGTTAGCTGCAGAGAGAAACTATTCCCAGGTCTCTAAGATATACAACTAAGAATTCTAATGGTCTATTTTGAATCCTTTGCATCTTTTAATGCAGCCACTCCCAATCCCCTCCTAGAACCAGCATCAACAGAATTTGCACAAACAAAGCAATTCAAAAAGTGAAATGACTACCTCCTGGCTTCCAAGTGGAAAGGTCCATTATTGCAAAGCCCTTTAATTTAGGAAGGTCCCTCCTGGAAGAGTTCATGCGTAAATAAAGCTTACAATTGCAATTGAATGTGAGGAGAAACAATGGCTGAAAGATCTAAATTGTTACTCTTTGAAGCAGTATACATTGTTGAAACAGTGTGTTCTGGGCCAGTTTTAAATACACATAAATAAATTGCCTTGGTTATAAAACCAACAAAATAACCAAATAATCAATAGCGTTTAATTCTTTGTCTCAAGAATGTATCATATTACTGCAAGATTCTCTTTAGTTAGCAAAACTGGGCCTGAACCCAGTAAGGGAAAGTGGTTTGGTCAGACTCACAAAGAAACAAACTGGGAGTTGTTTAAAGCTGCAATTCTCCCTTTACTACACCAGCATTAGTCAGAAATCACATAGGTTCATACATAGTTTAATTTTAAAAAGGCATTTGAAGATGATTATAATTATAAAAGGAAGTAAATGCAAAAAAGAAAAACAAAAGGAAGTAAATCCAAATAAATGAACACAGAAAACAAAATGCAGGCAGAAGAGATGAGATCCCAAATATACCATGCAGAGCCTTGTTCAGTGGCTGCGACCAAGAAGGTGCAGTCCGAGAACTAGCGGTGTGTAATTGGTACAATACACCTTTACACGGATTTGGTATTTTTCAGCAGTGGGCAAAAGGCAACACCTGTTCATGCATCAGGATTGCCTCTCTAGAACTCTCCACCACACGTTTGAAAATAGGCTTCATTGTGAAGTTTTACGTAACATACTTTCATAGTGTTATAAAATGTTTTCCCAGCCAGCTGGAGGTGGTAGGGAAAGAAGAGGCGGGGAGAGCTAGATTTATACGGGATTCCTTCTAACTCATGAAAGATACAAGTTTCTAGATTCTTCCCTTTTGGCTCAATAAAACATAAGATGTTCTAACCATCCGGAAGCTCCTAATCTAAATTCCATTTTATGCTTTGATCCAGAACAGCGTGTCTTCTCAGAGTTCCTGCATCACTGAGAAAAGCATGGACACAAGTTTCTCCTAAGAAGCAGGCATCGGGTGCAGGGGTTTGTGGGGGCGAAGAGAAGGCCTTTCACCCGTTCTGCCTGAGACTTGCCACAGGCAGCATGTTCTCAACCAGCCGTGAACAACATGGCTTTGGCCCCTAAAAAAAAGAGTTCTTTCGAACCTCGGTACCTCATCTCGCATCCCAAGAGGAATCTGTCCGAGCAGATGGTAGGGAAAGTTACTTGTTATGACATCACGTCATAAGTTCCTTTTTATTCATTTAAAACAACCGACCTAAAGGGCATTAGGAAATTTGGAAAGAAAGCAACCTCGCCTGCCCTCGTGGAGTACTGGGAAATGAACTGACCAAGCCCCGCGCCGAGGAGGCGCCCCCTGGTGGCCGGACGGGCTGTAAGCGCGCGGCGCCTGCGTTCACCCGGAGGCTCCAAAGCGTTAGGCGAGTGGCCCTGGCTGGGGAGGCCCGGTTGTCCCGTAACCGCAACCATGGCGACGCGGCTGAGTAGGCCTCCGTGGCCTCGTCCACATCTACCCGGGGGTAGGGGGACGTGGGCCAGCGCCTGGAAATAACGCATGCCGCTTCCCCTGCCACCTCTGGTTTCAAACCTGAGGCCAGCGGAGAGAGCCCTAGAGAAACATGGAGAAGGCAGGGCGAGAGCGCCGCGCGGCAAGGAAAGCGCCAGGGAAATTCTAGAGCGAGAGCTCGGGAGAGGGCAGCGAGGGCCAGGGTAGCTGCGAACGGATGTGGGCTGAAGCTGCACCCAGGAATCAAGCACCACGTTTTCCTAACGCTATTTCAACACTCTAAACCCCGCACGGAAGCAAGATCGCAGGTGCTATTCGGGAGTTTTGACCGTACTTCCCTGTAAAGTAAAAACATTCTGTAAATAATTAGAATCCAATAGAATCGTTATAATCCAAGGAGGGAGTGGGGATGTGTGGATTCCACGTGCTGCTTAGTAAATGAACGTCAGTTAGAGCAGTGAGTGCGTATGTATGCATTATATATATATATATATATATATTTTTTAAGTGGGAAAATACACACCACCTTCAACATGGAAACAGGATCTTCTTGAGAAATGTTCTTGGTGACAAAAGTGGAGGAGGAAATCGGTGAAACAGTGAGCCCCACCACCACCACCCCCATTTCAGCAGCCCGTGATATAGACCTGAGCAACCATGTATACACTACTGAATTAGCTAATTTAAAAAAGACTTACATGGTAGAATTTCCTTCAGCTATTGCGTCAAACAGAGCAGTAAGGAAGATCCTCAAAAAGCCTCTATCTATACAGCTAACTCGCCTTTAAAAAATTAAATCCAATACTAAACCCCCGAACTACAAATCGACACAATCAAAAGGAAATCTCAGCCAGAGCAGAAGGTCCTTGAAACCCGAATCTACATTCCGTTCCTCTAGTACTGGGATCTGGGGTGGGGGAGACGGTTTGTGCTGGTGCCTGGTGTATAATCGGGTTAATCCAGTAGACAAAGAATAAACCAATAGCCCTCCCACCTCACTTCCCGCTCCCCTTCCCCTCCCCCGTCTTTCCCCGTCGCCCCCTCGAGCGGTAACAGAAAAGGGGAGAGGTGGGCTTGCAGGGGATTTCGAATCAAGTCCTAAAACCTGCAACTTATTTTTAATGCTAACTCTGCGTGGCCAGGATTAGTTTTTAATGTTCATTCTCTTTTTCCTAGTGGCGAGGAGAAAGTTCTTAAAGTGAGCCCGAGATCTTGGCTCGTCCTCATGGCCTCTGGGGAAACCTTAAGGTCAGAGTTTCCTTGAAACTAGATAAACTGACCCCGCCGTGCCCATCCGGCCCCGCGGACACCCCGCGTGACGGCGCCCGGGCGGCAGGACTAGCCTGGGGACTCGCGGGGCGGCGCGGTTGCCCTTTTGAATGCCTCCTGTGGCTCGGAGCGCTGGCGGGCGCTGAAGTGTGAGTGAATGTAGCCCCGCGGAGCCAATGAGCTGGGACCGGATGCGATATATCCTCTGGGACAACAACTGCTCTGTTCCGCCTCGGATCCACATGACGCCATTTACTGCTGCCGCGGCCGCCGCAGAGCTCCCTGCCTCCTCCGGAAAGGAGAGGGCGCAGGCCAACGGCGAGCCCCCCCAGCCGGGCCCCAGACCCTCCTCCTTCGCCCCCTCCCCCGCCCCCTCCTCCGCAACCACCGCCCCCGCGCCGCCGCGCCTCCCCAAAGCCCAGTCTGCACCGCTGAGAGCCGCGCGCCGTAGCGCGAGCGGAGGAGAGGGGCCGGCGGAGCGCGCAGCGCCCAGGCCCCCGCGCCCGCCCGGCCCGGCCCTGCGCCCTCGCGCTGCCGCGCTGCCTCCGCTCCTGCGCGGCCGCACGGCTTGGCCATCTGGCTTTAGGTTCTCCGTGAGGCCGTTTTCTTTGCTCGTTCGCTCATCCGCCAGGAAAAGAGACTCGCGGTTGGCGCTTCGGCCTCCAGTTCATTGAGAAAAAAGGGGAAATACTCCGCGTGCGCTTCCAGAAGGGGGGTCGCCCCCAGCTCCAACCCCGGAGTGTTCATCGGCTAGGGACTTGGTTCCGGATTTTACTCTCCTTTTTTTCTCCTATCGCTTGCTCGGAAGTTGGGCTGAAGCAGAGTTTGGAAAGGAGGGAAAAGTTTGCATCGGTGGATTTATTTGCACATCGCAGGAAAAAAGAGAATCCAACGGAGAGGGGTTGGTGCAAAGCCGCGATTACGGTGAGGCGCTTTGGGTCTACTGCTCCTGGCGCGGTGGCTGGCGCGCTGTGGGCAACATGGAGTAGGTGCAGCCAGACCGGGAGTGGGGTCTGTCTCTCCCCGGGCCTCCCTTTCTCTAACCTCGCAGGTTTCCCGCGGGAATCCCGGGAGCTGCCTGTGTATCTACCCGATCCCGGGCTCGGCCCGCCTCGGCGGGGGCTCCGGTGCATGCCCAGCACGGTGTCCCCGGCCTGAGGTCCCCACGCGCCCGCGCTCTGGGGGGTTGGGGTGACGGACGGCTGGCCGCGAGTCTGCTCCCCGCCCTGCATTGGCCGTGAATTGGGCGCTGAGAGAGGGGGAGGGAGGGAAAACACTTTGTGTTTTCCAGATCGCCGTTGTAGGCGCTTGCATTTCTAACCTGCTCTCCAGAGAAGGCCATCCCAGGGTGAGGCTGTCCCGAGGCAGGGGCAACGGAGGGACAGAGGGCGCGCGGGTCACTCGCCTCTCAGGGGGCAGCGAGCCCCTGCGGGTGGAAAAAGCAGGGTGCAGGGCGAGGGAGACCCACCTCTGCCCCGTGTGGACCGAGGCGAGCCGGGTGCGGGTTGCGGGTGCGAGCGGCGCCCTGCCTGGCGCCGGGTCTCTGTGGTTCGGAAGCGCAGCTTTCTCGTCTTTCCGTTCTCCGTGGCCGATCTGGCTCAAGCTTTTTTTTTTTTTTTTTTTTACTTTTGGAAGATAGAGGTGACCTAGCACAGGAAGAAAGTCGTCAAGCGGTCGCGATTGTTTTCCATTACCCGAAAACGGGTGGTAAAAGAAGCTAGTTTCTTATTTCCTTTGCTGGACTGATCTTTTTTGTTTCTGCCGTTTTTAATTCGGGATCTTGTGCGTTTTTACAAAACGGTTTCTGTGTCGGTTTGCCCCACCCTTGTGCTGAAGTCCTTTCCCTCTAATCCTTAGTCTGATCACAAACTGTTCTTAGAGGTGTTTCAAAGCACTGGGGGGAGGGGGTGCTGAGGGGGCGCGCGCTGTGAGGGGGTGCTGCAAAGGCCAGGAATCGCCACAAATCACTTTTGTAAACAGCCCCACGCCCCTCCACCCCCAAGATGCTACTTTACACTGCAAGCAAATCTGTGCGGAGTTTCCAGCCCAGGGATCTGAATCCTGCACGTACGGCGTGTGCATTGGAGCTCTGGAAAATACACTTTCTCTGAAAAGTAATTTTTCTTTCACTTAAAGGAATACATGTATATATATTTTAAGTTTCTCTCCACTCAAAAGGAGATACGCTCGTGCAGTTTGCAAACAGTGCCGCTCGGGTCGGTGCACGGTGGAGTCACCCCGCGTGCGTGGGTTGGACCTCCGCGTCCCGGCTGTGTGTCTCGGCCAGGGCTTTCCTCCTCGGGGCGCCGGGGCTGGAAACCGGTGGCCCACGTTCGAGAGCCTTTGCCGGGTCGCCCTGCGGTGGGCTGCGTGGCCTCTACCTGAGGGTGGAGTGGCTCCCCTTCGGGCTGGGAAGCAGTTCTTTGGTCGGAGGGTGTTTTAGCTGAGGAGGGAGAAAGGGGGAGTGTGCTGTAGTGTTTCCAGGCACGTCCCCTTCGGTGGCGCCCGCGCTCGCCGCCCTTCTCTTGGTCTCGGGATTGTGCGATTGTGCGTAGCGGCCACACTGACCGCCGAGCTGTGTCAGTCCGCCCGGAGAAAAGTCCCCCGGGGCTCCGACTGTGTCCCACCTGCTGGGAACGGTGTTGGGGCGCAGATAGAGCCGATACACGGAGTAAAAGCAAAGAGCGACGTTGTCTTGTCTGCCTTTCCGTTGCAAGTGAGATCTGGTTTCCAGCTCTGTCTTGTTACTAATTGAGAGGCGTGTGTCACCTGCCTATGTTTCTCTTCTAAAAAGCGAAGATTAGATAAAAGTCCATTTTTATTAATTGTAGACTTGGCAAGGGAGATGATAGTTTTGAAACTTGCGGAGGGATTGCAGTTTAAGCGATTACTTGTCAGAATGATTGATTTGAGATGTGACACTTGGATTTTTAAAACACTTCCTGTTATCACCAATCGGTTTATGTTCTGAGCCATTAAGTTTTTGGAAACGGGTAAAGCAGTTAAGATTTTGACATAACTTATTTCTAAAGGAGGGAGAACAATCTTTTAGCCATAGCATTTAAGGTGTTCTGGGCTATCAGGCTGTAAAATACTTGATTCTTCTCAGTTGTTGAGAAGTTGAAAACAAGCGCCTGTCTTGTGGTTTGTGTGAGTTTGTTTTATTGAAGTGTTTCTGGCACCTAGTAACATTTGAATTGTTCTAAATTGTTTTAAGTAACTTTGTGCTTCTATAAAGATGGTAATGTATTTAAAAAAAAGTTACAGTCTGGATCAAAGGTATGCAATGTAAAAGCAGACTTAAAATATTGAAAAAGTATTCAACTTTTGAAAATATGGGCAGCAATGTTATGTTCTACCATTACTTCCTTGCAGTTTTTACAATTAACCTGAACAGTGCAAATTTTACCTTTTTGCATGAGGACTTACTACTTATGTAATTGAAACAGAGATCAGCTTTGTGCCACTCCACATCACATGATTGAAGAATTGTCTGTGCCAGGCCATATTTTTAACTTGTTGGTACCGGCGTTGATCGTATGGCCACTCTGATAATCCCCCACAGCCACTCCATTTCAGATCCTGTCTGGTTCTCCAGGGAAGTGGGAAGTGAAGAGTTAACTCAGGTGGGTGGAGAGTGGGAAGTATCCTGGAGTGTAAGCCCTCTCTTTCCTCTTGGTTTCCCCAGGAATTCAGATGTGTTCTATGCCTGCTGGAGTGACCACATTTTCAAGACCTGATGGAGGCCAGAGCTCAGAGTGGCAGTGGGTCACAGCCCTTGCTGCAGGCACCGCGTGACGGTGGCAGACAGCGTGGGGAGTCCGACCCCAGAGATGCCCTCACCCAGCAGGTACACGTGTTGTCTCTGGATCAGATCAGAGCCATCCGAAACACCAATGAGTACACAGAGGGGCCTACCGTGGTCCCAAGATCTGGGCTCAAGCCGGCTCCTCGCCCCTCCACTCAGCACAAACAGGAGAGACTCCACGGTCTGCCTGAGCATCGCCAGCCTCCCAGGCTCCAGCACTCCCAGGTCCATTCTTCTGCACGAGCCCCTCTGTCCAGGTCCATCAGCACAGTCAGCTCGGGGTCTCGGAGCAGTACGAGGACAAGTACCAGCAGCAGTTCCTCTGAACATAGACTGTTGGGACCGTCCTTGTCCTCGGGACCCGTTGCTGATGGGATCATCCGCGTGCAGCCCAAATCTGAGCTCAAGCCAGGTGAGCTGAAGCCCCTGAGCAAGGACGACTTGGGCCTGCACGCCTACAGGTGCGAGGACTGTGGCAAGTGCAAGTGCAAGGAGTGCACCTACCCTCGGCCCCTGCCCTCCGACTGGATCTGCGACAAGCAGTTCCTTTGCTCTGCTCAGAACGTGATTGACTATGGGACTTGCGTGTGCTGTGTGAAAGGGCTTTTCTATCACTGTTCTAATGATGACGAGGACAACTGTGCTGACAACCCATGTTCTTGCAGCCAGTCTCACTGTTGCACACGTTGGTCGGCCATGGGCGTCATGTCCCTCTTTTTGCCTTGTTTATGGTGTTACCTTCCAGCCAAGGGTTGCCTTAAATTGTGCCAGGGGTGTTATGACCGAGTTAACAGGCCTGGATGCCGTTGTAAAAACTCAAACACAGTTTGCTGCAAAGTTCCCACTGTCCCACCCAGGAACTTTGACAAACCAACATAGCATCACTAATCAGGAATATTACAGTAATAAAGATTGTTCCCCTTTGTTTTTAACACACATATGCAACCAACTAAACAGTTATAATCTTCGCACTGTTAAAATAGAGGGTTGGGATATTCTTTGCTGTTTGCAGTAAAATGCTTGTTGTCCATGTGCCATTTTAACTGATATGCTTGTTAGAACTCAGTTAATAGAACCCAAAGGGAACTTGGGGACCCATGTGTTGCATAAACTAAAGCAGCAGACACTCCTAGGCAAAGGTTTTGTTTGTGAATAGTACTTGCAAAATTTGTAAATTAGCAAATGACTTTTTTTCCCATTGTTTTCTCCAGAGATAATGTGCTATATTTTTGTACATACAATAATATTTGCAACTGTGAAAAACAAGTTGTGCCGTACTATATGGCACAGTCACAAAATATTATACTAATATGTTGTACATTCGGAAGAATGTGAATCAATCAGTATGTTCTTAGATTGTATTTTGCCTTACAGAAAGCCTTTATTGTAAGACTCTGATTTCCCTTTGGACTTCATGTATATTGTACAGTTACAGTAAAATCCAACCTTTATTTTCTAATTTTTTCAACATATTGTTTAGTGTAAAGAATATTTATTTGAAGTTTTATTATTTTATAAAAAAGAATATTTATTTTAAGAGGCATCTTACAAATTTTGCCCCTTTTATGAGGATGGGATAGTTGCTGCAAATGAGGGGTTTACAGATGCATATGTTCAATATAAAATAGAAAATATATTAACGTTTGAAATTAAACCGAGCTCTTTTGTCTTACTTTACCTTTGTTATTTTTTGAAGTGAAAGAAACCACACTTCATGTTAAGGCTAGTATTTCCATGAAATAATTCCCTCATTCAGATTTTTTTTATCTTACCAGCATTGCTGCTTTAAAGTGGAGATTTGGTGGATTCCAGAGATAATTCCAGCAATCAGGAGAGAAATAATTGAGCATTTGACTTCCTTGTCTGTTAGTCATATGAGAGCTTATTTTGGCCCATTGCTGCTGCTCCTCCTTTCTGCAGATTTTATTTGCTGTTGTTTCACAGGTTAAAAAAAAATCATTCATTCAGGAGACTGCCCTAAAAGATTAACAATTAGACTTTTTCTTTATAAACAGTATTAAGAATGAATGCCATGAGGCTAATTCAAGACCAGAGAAACGAGTTTAGTTCAGCAAACATTTATTGAAAGTCCTCTGTGTGTCAGGTATGCAGTATGTATGCACAGATCAGTGCTTGTAACTGAGGCAAAAATGTTTACTTGACTAAACTGATCATGGCTGTATTTTTTTCCAGTCTATTTAATTTTAGACAAGCTTATCACCATGATATCAAATTCCTTATGTCAGAAAAGACATAGAAAATACAGCTTGTTTAGATTCAGGTATAGGGTATCATGAAATTTCATCTTCCAGTGGCCTAATAACTGAAGCTTAAGCAGAACAGCCTGAGAGGTCCGGTCTTAATCTAATCAAATTATCCAGGAAATTGTTATATTTTACTCTGGGAAAAAGGTGCAGGATGGCAAAAAGTCTGTTGCAGTTGTCTTGTGGAAGCAAGCTGCTACAAGCCCTGCTTGACAAATAGTAGGTTTTCTTATTTGTAATAAGTCACTTGGTTAATTAGTCACTTTGTGGCTGATGATTTTTTTTTTTCCAAAAGCACAACCTTTTGCTGCCAAGAATCACCGGAAGTCTAGGAAATGATTTACCTGTCATTGTTTAATCTCCCATTTCCTGTTCTTAGGCTCCTCTTAGCTTAAGAGGTCTTAGCAGAGTTGTCTTATGTTTTGCTTTGTTTTTTAAAATTGGCTTTCAAGGAATTATATAACCTCCTAAACCAAGACATTGATACAAGAACCTTCAGTTACTTCTAAAAAAACCTTTCTCCAAAAACCACAGGTTAAATTAATTTAGAAATTATGTACTCTTAAGTTTCAACTTTGGGAAAATGAATGCTGAAATTCTAATACTCTTAAGTTTAACCCTGATGGTCTAAGAAGAATTAGAATGCTGAAAAATAGGGCAGGATTTGTTACTGTGCAGTTTCAGGATTTGTAAAGCATAAACATTTTGACTAATTAGGTTTATTTATCAAAAGCTGCTGTATGCACTGATAGAACTTACTTGGTGTAGAAATTGTGAGAGTCACATTCTTTTTCACCAGTCCTCTAGACAAATTGCATCAGATGCAATTTTTATTGAAGACGTAGATCAAGACCCCCATCCCTGTAGTTACTAAATCTGATGGTGTGGCCTAGGAATTTGCATTTTTAATCATTCCTCTAGTGATCATGTACTATTTGAGAAGTACTGACCTAGTAATGGCTTTCTAATTTAGCTTTCTTTTTTTCAACAGTCTGATGTAAATCATAATTCTAGTTTGAATGTGGAGCACAGTGATATAACCAGTTGAAATTAGATGAGGATTTGGTGTAAGTACATAGGAAGTCCTGATGAAAAATGAAAAATAGGAAAACGAAAACTGGGTCTTTCAAGAAGCTTTCAACCTATTAAATGTCGAGTTTATCTATAAACCAGTATAGAATTCATTTTCACAACATGGAAAACTAAATGTTTATATTTAAACAGATTAAAAGCAGCTGGTGCTCTTCAGTCTGTTAGAGTTTATAAATGTTGCAATACAAGTCATCTCACTGAGATGTAGATGAATAATCACCTCAACTTCTTAATCTCTGAAGTTCATGAAAATCTCTCTTATAAATACAATGAGTTTATAATCCAGTGGGCATGATTTTGATACTGTGATAGCTTATGATACAGCAAACATGTCATTTGACAGCTAAAGGATTTAGGGAAAGCATAACTGTTTTTTGCTGGCTTCTTGCCTTTCAATTTGTCCAGAAGTCTGTTCATTCTCTAGATTGATATTCATTTAAGAATGACAACTTGATGGTTTTTATTTAAAACATACATATGTGTGTTTTGAGGAAATTTTTCAGGCTCTGTCAAACTTCCACCCTGTTGGAGCATGCTCAGGGGATTGAAAGAAGCAAGCCAAGCCACCCACCCAGCCAAACTTTTGCATAACTTTCTCCACTGCACCTTTGTTGCAAGGATTGCTTGCCTCTAGGATATATATGTTAAGATATTGATGATGTTGGATAAGTGAATTTGTTCTTTGTACAGTGCTGTGAAGGATTTGACAGGTAGTTGATGGGTCTGATGTAAATTACTAACTTGTGAGCATAGAGGTAAAACTTTTCAAAGGTTTAATGGGTTTAGAGTTTTTACTTGCAGTTATATTCCCAACTGGCCATTTGCCTTCTTAAATATGCAAAAGTATCAGGATATAGGTGCAGAAGTCTCAAGTTTGTATGCTGGTTAAACTGTGTAAGTCAAGAACAATGTCATCTTGTGCAGAATTATACTTTGGTAAAGAACAAAAAATAGGGCATTGGCTATTTTCATCAATGCCAGTATCCATTCTTTGGTTTTTCAGTATTAAGCAAAAGTTGTTACTTTCACTTATAGTTAGGACAATTGCCCCATTTCTCTACTACATACCAAGGGAGGGTCTCCACTGATTGAAGACTAAAGCAGAATTTTCAAATAAGCTCTGATTTGGCCTAACTAGTGATCAGAGTGCAGCCATACATCTGCAGTATTTACTCATTGCTCTGCTGTTTGTGGGAGGAGGAAGCTGCAGACCATATATATATCCTATACTTGGATCTTATTTGCATGCCACACCACCACTCTTCTTACATCATGAGGGACAACCATGTGAATAATGAGAGAAAATATGAATACCACTACTAATAGTGCACCTCTGGTCAAAATTAAAATATTCTTGTACAGTCAAACAATAAAAAGGAAATAGAAATACAGAAAATAAAAAAAGATGGCCACTGAAACTTTTATCCATGGCTAGCAAATGTTCCACATTTTTATTTGAAATACATTTTGGTTGACCTAAAGAATTTTTAAAAGCCGATCTTATTTGGCAAGTAACTCCTGTTTTTAAAGTAAACTACTAAAGGAGATGAGAGTGAAGCCTGGTGCCTTGGCCTCTGGCTTGCCCAGATGAGGCACAGAGGCTCCAGCGCACCTTAAGCGAGGGAGTTCATGTCTCAAAACAGTTCTAATACACAGAGAAGAATAAATAATTTGGCTTTTATTCCAAGGGACTCACTTGGAATGAATTTCGGCACCAAAATAATTTGGCATTTCAATTGAACCAATTTATTTTGAAGGCCTACTCCTTAGGAATCACAGGGCTAGTTGGTGTAATGCAAAAGGAAAGGGGAATACTAATGCAAGACAGGGCCTTCATAGCAAAGGGATAAGCATAGGGCTGTGAGAGTGCAGAAATTGGGAGAAGCACTGATCCATCCTTAATGTGGGTCTCCAGGTCTTCACAATGTTTACAGCTATTTAAATAGAATTTTGGCTAAGGGAGATACAATGAAATGAGGGTTACTCATTAAATAAAACTATATTCCCCACGTTCACATCCTAAATCCTCAATGAAATGCAGAGCTGTTAGATTAATATTGGAACAGTTCTATTTTGCTGTTTATTCTTAAATTTAAGGTTCATGATTCACTAAAACCTTCCCCTAAAAGAATTTTAAAATACATTTTAAAGATACACAGCTAAGAAATAAGTTGGAAAGATTCATCTATTCTTGCTCTTCCAGGTTTTGCTACAATCTACCTCTTGTCATTAACCCATAGCTTTAGCTTGCCTCTGCTGTTAGAAGGATAAACGCCTGTGAAGAATGAATTGGGCATCATAAAGCTGAGGAAAAAAAAAAGGTCTGTGATAGTATGACAGGAAGTGGTTGAGCTTTGGACCGATTCTGCCCTTGCCAATAAACTGCCTCAGACCTGGCTGGTCAAGTCCACATGGCACTCAAAGCCTTGATGACCACCTCTAGCACCTAAGTTAATACAAGTTCCATTTTTGAAGTGGTTTTGTGCTCCAAATTACATTTGGTTTGTTGACTTGCTTCAGTAGGGGTTAGAGTCAGACAGGGTTCTGGAATACACATGTTTATGTCATCTTTCATTTCTCCAAGTTCTAAATAGGCACAATGCTCCCCTCTTAGTCTTAAACCTGGTTTTCCTGCTTGCAAGTAGGCACAAAGTAGCCCTAATATCTGACTGGT